GGAATGGAAGAACAGAAAAAGAGGGGAGAATTGTTTGATGGAGAAAACAGAGAAAGCATAGAATATGTGAAGCAGGTTCAAAGGGACTACCAAGAAACTAAGAAGTCTATCGAAGACTGGCATAACAGCTTGAAAGAAACTAAGGACAGACTATCTGAACTGGAGGGCAGACTTGTAATATGGGAGAATGAAATGAAAAACTTCTAAAAATAACAAAGAAACAAACAGCAATAATACAAAGACAAGAAGATGATAAGAGGATCCATAACTTAAGGATTAAGAACATAAAAGAAGAAGTAGGGACACAAACAAATGAACTACAAAAGCTACTCACAGAAATGATCCAGGAGAATTTTTCTAATTTACAAAAGGTAAAGATACTCAGATGTATGAGGCATACAGGACCCCCGCTACCTACAACCCAAACAGAGCAACACCCAGGCATATAATAATAAAAATTCCAGAAATTCAATACAAGAACAGAATATTAAAAGCTGTTAGAGACAAGAAACAGTTCACTTACAAGGGAACACCTATCAGAATTACAGCAGATTTCTCGGCACAAACCATCAAATCACGAAGAGCGTGGGGGGAAATAATTCAAGCTTTGAAAGATAATAATCTCCAGCCAAGATTGAGATATCCTGCACAACTGTCCCTGGAAATTGATGGAAAAACAAGGTGCTTCCAGGATAAAGAGGAACTGGGGGAATTTGCAACCACCAATTCAACTCTACAGAGAGTATTGCAGGATATTCTAAAAAAAGAAAAATACAAAGAATCCAGAAATAGTGGCGGGGAGGCCACAACGAATGGAGCAGAGAACAAAATGAAGAAGACAAACTGACAGCTACTGACAGAAAAAGAGCTCAACAGAAATGAGGCAGAGAAGATTGGATGATAGGAACAGCTATTTTGGAGAAAATGACATCTGAATAGGTAATACTGATGTAGTATCATCTTGTTTTGAAGTCTCATCAAGCTTTTGTTCTTCTGTCTCCAATGGTCTAAATAGGTTGTATCTTATTGGATTTTATTATGTACGATAGTATAAGCAAAAACCTTTTAAAGACAAGGAGATTATACAGAAACCATTGTTCATTTTCTGTTAGTCGATTCTAAATACTCTGTAATGCTGTCATTCTCTTAAGTGGTTTTACATTGTTTTGATATACTTAATGCTACAGTATACGAAGTTGTACTCAAGGATTTCAAGGAAAGAGACAATATGATAACTACTTTTAGGTCAGGATTATCTGGTGGTGAAACACTATTCTGCTTAAATGGTTATGTTTTGATCTGCGCTGTTTCACTGTTATGCCCTCTTTTATCTCAATCTCCACTCCATTATTTACTTTTTTATTTTTATCCTTTTAATTAAAGGAAAAATAAATAAAAATAGCAGGATATATTATAGTAACCCACTTTGACTTTCCATTATCTCGATTTAAAGCCCTGTATTACTCTTACCATCTTGTTTTTGACTGATGTTCCCCTATTTTGTTTTGCTGGATAGTATCAGGTTCGAAAGTTTAGGCATCAGCTGTGAAGATAATGAGATTCATTATAACACCCATTCTCGTTGACTTTTATCTACTTTTGAAGACCTACAATGTCTCCAATGTTTTGGTTTTGTCGGTTTTATTCTTTACTGTTTTGTTCAATTTTATTATAACTAATGATATAGGCAATTCTATTAGAGATAGCGGGAGGCATTATGGTAACCATTTTTGATCACCTTGTATTATGTTGTTAACATTATCTACTATGTCCACCCTTTTGACTTGACCGATTCTGTTCTGTTATGTCACATTTGGCTTTACTCTCTTCCAAAAAACTAGTAAGAACCGTGGGAGCAATGAAACCCAAAATGTGTAATAGTCATTGTACAAAAGAGAGGAAAAGAAAGTGCTCTAAACTATATAACTGCATGTATATTTAAGTGTATAAGATAGAAAATGATATCACAGAGTTTTATTGGATCATTGAACAGAACTGTTTGCAGTATCATTGTTGGAATGTCCACTTTACAAGCTTTAATTTTGTGACTTGAACAATTATTTCTAAGATGACAATATGTAATCCATTAACTAGTGATTTCCTACTGTTTATTTTTTTCTGTAAATCTGTATAACTTGTACCCTTTCTCTGCTTTTTTTTTTTCGTTTCTCCTTAAATAAAATTAAAAAAAAAAAGAAAAAAAATAAGCAAGAGAAGATTTGCCCTGCTGACCCAAGAATGAACTGGGCTGAGAGAAACCAACTGGGAATGCAATCCTGGTGCAATAACAGGAACAGAAAAGCCTCAGCGTGGAAGCTGGAGCCCACGCCATTGGAAACCACAATTTGGGTTTCCTGCCGCCGCTGCTGCATCTACATCTGCTCGGCAGGGAGAGAGATGAGCTAAAGCTCTGAGAACGGGAATCGGTGAACGGAGTTGAAAGCAGGATGGGCGGGGAGCTGTGCATTGACTTGCAGTGAGTGAGAGAAACTGGGACTCTTCCACGGTTTAGGAGCCTCCAACAGAGGACATTCTGGGACCGGCAGACTTGCGGGAACAGGGCGCTGCAGTGACTTCAGCCACGTATCCATCTCTCAAGCGGGATTGGTGAGCAGTGCCTAGCCTACGTGACGCTGCTGGCTGAGACCCAGTAGGCTAGCACAACCCAGATCCCAGTGCCTGAAGGTGACCTGGAGAAGCGGGCCCCGAATAGGCTGCCTGGTCTGCAACTTCCTGGTGTGCTGCGGTGGGCGGGAACACCTAGCCAGTGCAATTCAATCAGACTGTGGCTGACAGGGATGGAAGCTGGGCCTCCTATACACGCTTGCATATATAAGGAACAAAGAATATGGGAAGAGGCAGCAACAAGAAAGGGTCCTCAGCCCCCAATCCTGAGAAAGAGGCAATAGCAGACACGGCACCAATAGATATAAAGCACTATCTCCAGAGCCTCATAGACAAGTTCAGGAATGAAGTTATTAATGACCTGAAGCTAGATATAAGCAGAATAGTTAGAGAAATGCTAAGCACCACCCAAGAAAAAACAGATGGTGGAATGGAAGAACAGAAAAAGAGGGGAGAATTGTTTGATGGAGAAAATAGAGAAAGCATAGAATATGTGAAGCAGATTCAAAGAGATTACCAGGAAACTAAAAACTCTATCGAAAACTGGCATAACAGCTTGAAAGAAACTAAGGACAGATTATCTGAACTGGAGGGCAGATTTGTAATATGGGAGAATGAAATGAAAAACTTCTTAAAAATAACAAAGAAACAAACAGCAATAATACAAAGACTAGAAGATGATAAGAGGATCCATAACTTAAGAATTAAGAACATAAAAGAAGAAGTAGGGACACAAACAAATGAACTACAAAAGCTACTCACAGAAATAATCCAGGAGAATTTTCCTAATTTAGCAAAAGGTAAAGATTCTCAGTTGTATGAAGCACACAGGACCCCAGCCACCTAAAACCCAAACAGAGCAACGCCCAGGCATATAATTGTTGGGAGCCGCAGCCCCGAGCCCGGTCGCCACACTTGGCGGACGTGAGGCCTGTAGTAAAGAGTAAAGCCTGAGGTAGATTACCCCTCCCATCGAGCACGTTAGTTTCCTGCTTACCGCGTAAGCAACCCGCTCAACAATATAGTCTGCCTGGCAACTGATGATGTTAGCCAATCAGCTTGCCTTGCTCACTTTAACATGATTGGACACTGTATCCGTATATATACTGGTGCCACCCCTGGGGGGGAAGAAGAAGCCCGGAAGTAGAAGCCCAGAAGGAGCCGCGGGGAGTGGACCAAAGGAGGCTTCGGCTGGGAGCGATCCCAGGGCAGGCTGTACGGAGAAGGAAAATAAAAGAAAAGGTTGTCCACTGCCAGACTTTGTCGTGTGTCCTTCCTTTCGGCCAGGAGCGACATCGACATATAATAATTAAAATTCCAGAAATCCAATACAAGAACAGAATATTAAAAGCCATCAGAGACAAGAAACAGACCACTTACAAGGGAACACCCATCAGAATTACAGCAGATTTCTCGGCACAAACCATCAAATCACGAAGAGCGTGGGGGGAAATAATTCAAGCTTTGAAAGATAATAATCTCCAGTCAAGATTGATATATCCTGCACAACTATCCCTCAAAATTGATGGAAAAACAAGGTGCTTCCAGGATAAAGAGTAACTAGGGGAATATGCAACCACCAATCCAACTCTACAGAGAATACTGCAGGATATTCTAAAAAGGAAAAATATGAAGAATCTAGAAATAGTGGCAGAGAGGCCACAATGAATGGAGCAGAAAGCAAAATGAAGAAGACAAACTGACAACTAATGACAGAAAAAGAGCTCAACAGAAATGAGGCAGAGAGGATTGGATGATAGGAACAGCTATTTTGGAGAAAATGACATCTTAATAGGTAATACTGATTTAGTATCATCTTGTTTTGAAGTCTCATTAAGCTTTGTTCTTTCTCCATTGGTCTAAATAGGTTGTATCTTATTGGATTTTTATTATATATGATAGTATAAGCAAAAACTTTTATAGACAAAGAGATTATACAGAAACTACTGTTCATTTTCTGTTAGTTGATCCTAAATACCCTATAATACTGTCATTCTCTTAAATGGTTTTACATTGTTTTGATATATTTGATGCTACAGTATACGAAGCTATACTCAAAAGATTTCAAGGAAAGAGACAGTATAACTACTTTTATGTTGGGATTATCTTGTGGTGAACCACTATTTTGCTTAAATGGCTATGTTTTGATCTGTGCTGTTTTGCTGTTTTGCTGTTTTGCCCTCTTTTATCTCAATCTCCATTTTATTATTTACTTTTTTATTTTTATCCTTTTAATTAAGGGAAAAATAAATAAAAAAATAGCAGGATATGTTATAGTAACCCACTTTGACCTTCCATTATCTTGATTTAAAGCCCTGTATTGCTCTCACCATCTTGTTTTGACTGATGTTCCTCTATTCTGTTTTGCTTCATAGTACCAGGTTCGAAAGTTTAGGCAACAGCTGTGAAGATAGTGGGATGCATTATGACGCCCATTCTGGTTGACTTTTATCTACTTTTGAAGACCCGTAATGACTCCAATGTTTTGATTTTGTTGGTATTGTTCTTTACTGTTTTGTTCAGTTTTATTACAACTGATGATATAGGCAATTCTATTAGAGATAGCAGGAGGCATTATAGTAACCATTGTTGATCACCTTGTATTATGCTTTTACATTATCTATTATGTCCACCCTTTTGATTTGACTGACTCTGTTCTGTTATGTCACATTTGGTTCTACTCCCTTCCAAAAAAGTAATAAGAACTGTGGGAGCAACAAACCCAAAATGTGTAATAGTCATTGTACAAAAGAGAGGAAAAGAAAGTGCTCTAAGCGATACAACTGCATGTATATTTAAGTGTATAAGATAGATAATGATATCACTGAGTTTTGTTGGATCATTGAACAGAACTGTTTGCAGTCTCACTGTTGGAATGTCTACTTTATAAGCTTTAATTTTGTAACTTGAACAATTATTTCTAAGATGACAATATGTAATCCATTAACTAGTGATTTCCTACTGTTTATGTTTTTCTGTAAATCTGTATAACTTGTACCTTTTCTCTGCTGTTTTTGTTTTTCTCCTTAAATAAAATTTAAAAAAAAAGAAAAGCAAAACTGGTAGATTCTTGGGATAGACACAAAGATCACGAACTGCCTACACATAAAAAAGATGCCTAATGGATAGATATTTCCTAAGGAAGACTTGATACTAGTGATAAAGCTATTTACCGTAAGAAATCTACAAGAATCAATACAGCAAACAAAATAAAATAAAGAACAGAAAAGAGAAAGTGACAGGGTGCAGAAACACAGTGTATCCCCAGACCTCCAGCCCACTTAGGACAAGTTCAGAGCATAATAAGATAAAGGAAATTGGAAGCTATCCACTGGATCTTTCTGAAATTAAGCAGCAGAGGTAAAAAAGCAAAAGGATGAGGCTGCAGAAAAAAATCTGTTGGGTAAGAAAATAAATGTCATCAAAATGGAAGACATTAGAGCAGACAGATTAGAGAGAGACAGAGAGAGAGAGAGAGAGAGAGAGAGAGAGAGAGAGAGCACTTAGGAAAATGGTGGAAACCATAAATGTCCAACATAGGAAAGAAATAAAATCCATGAAACAGATCCAAACAGAAATCCAGGAGATTAAAAAGTCCTTTTAAAGTATAAACAACAGGCCTGGGGATTTAGCTTGATGGCCAAGTGTCTGCCTGGCAAGTGAGAGGTCATGAGTTTGATCCCCAGTACCAAAAATAAGTAAACAAAATAAAACAAAACAAACAGATGTAAAGAAGATGAGGACAGACTATCAGATCCAGAAGACAGGATTGTGGCTAGTAACCATAAAAAGAATGATATCTTAAAAATAGTAAGAGACCATGAAAAATCAACCCAACACTTACAACATGAACAAAAGAACAACAACACAAGATTTATTGGAGTCATTGGGAAAGCTGGAAATAGCACAAATGTCATAAAAATAACTCTTCATAGAAGTAATGGCAGAAAACTCCCCAAATATGAAGTAAGAATTTGATATACAAATAAGTGAAGCATATAGAACTCTAAATAATCATGACTAAAATAAATTTATGCTAAGGCATATAATAATCAGAATTCCAGAAATTCAACACAAGAGCAGAATGTTAAATGTGATTAGACAAAAGAAACAAATGACCTATAAAGGAAAGCCCGTTAGAGTCAAGCAGACTTCTTAACACAAACCTTCAGATGAAGGAGAGCCCAGAGTGAGGTATTTCAAACCCTAAAAGAAAACAACCTCCAATCTAGTTTGATGTACCCTGCAAAACTATCTTTCAAAATCAATAGAGAAATAAGACACTTCCATGACAAAGAACTGAAAAAAATTCATGACTATCAAACCAGGTCTCTAAAATGCTTTGAAGTGTATTTTAGAAAGAGAAACTGGAGACTACAATTAAAAGAATACTAATAGAAATCACCAGGAATGGCAAGCAATTAAATAGAGGGGAGAGACAAGTAACCAACAATTATAATATAAGAAGGATATAAGAAGGATAAATCAATAAATATTATTATAGCCATCAATGTAAATTGTCTCAATCCACTCAAAAGAAACAGCCTGACAATGAATGGATCAAGAAGCAAGATCCAGTAATCTGCTGAATAACACATTTAACTAAAAAAGAAGTTCATAGACTAAAAGTCAAAAGATGTAAAACAAACCTCCATGCAATGAGAACCTAGAAAAAAGTAGGGGTAGTATCCTATTTGCAGACAATGTAAACTTTGACCAAGACTGATTAAAAGAGACAAAGAAGGTCACTACATCTTAAAAGAAAGAGATAAAAATCATAACTATATATGCCCCAAATACTGGTGCTACAAACTACATAAAGCAAATTATTAATGAAATTGAAAGGGAAGCAACACTCCCAAAATCATTCCTGGAAGGAAGTATTACCCTGATATTAAAGCCAGAGAAGAACTCAACCAAAAAAGAAAACTACTGGCCTGTGTTGCTTATCAACATGGATGCAAAACTCTGCAATAAGATACTGGCAAAAAGAACGCAGCGAATCGTCAAGAAGCTTATACACTGTCACAAGTAGGATTCATCTCAGGATGCAGGGTTGGTTCAACATATAAAAATCAATAAATGTAATGCACCATATTAACAGAGCCAAAGACAAAAAAAATCACATGGTTATTTCAAATACTTGTAGAAAAAGTATTTGACAAAGTCCAACATCTGTTAATGAAAAAAAAAAACTCTACATAGAACTGAAATAGATAGATTTATTTCAATTTGATAAAAGCAATCTATCACAAACCAACAGCAAAACTACATGGTTAAAAACTGAGTTTTCACTGTAAAATCAGAAACAAAGACAAGGATGTTCACTGTCACTATTTCTATTCAGTATAGTTTTGGAAACATTAGCCAGAGAAATTACACCAGAAAAAGAAATAAAAAGAAGGAAGGAAGGAAAAAAAGTTAAATTATCATTATTTGAAGATGACCTCAACAAAAAAGATCTCAAAAACTCCACCAAGGGTCTTCCATACCGAATAACAAAATTCAATAACAAAGCTGAATACAAAATCAACAGTCAAAAATCAGTAGCATTCCTGTATATAAACAGCAAACTTAATGAGAGAGAAATTAGGCAAACAATACTCTTCATGATAGCAACCAAAAAAATTGAATTACCTAGGAATCAGTCTAACACAGGAAGCAAAAGAACTCTACATTGAAAACTACAGTACTCTGAAAAAGGAGTTTAAAGAGGTTATCAGAAAACGGAGAGATATTCTGTGATCATAGATGGGAAAAACCCACATCGTAATAATGGCCACACTTTCAAAATTGTTATACAGATTTAATGTAATTCCTATCAAAATACCATTAACATTCTTCACAGAACTAGAGAAAATATTCATAAACTCATTTGGAACCAGAAGACACACAGAATAGCAAAAACAGCTTTTGAAACAAGGACAAGGCAGGGAGCTTCACAATCCCTGACTTGAAATTATACTGCAAAGCTACTGTGATAAAAAAACAAACCCAGCATGGTACTAGCAATAAAACAGAGCCAAAGCTCAGTGGAACAAATTAGAAGATGCAGAAACAACTCTAAACACACTCAGCCACCTTATCTTTGATAAAGATGGCAAACATGTTCACTGGAAGAAAGCCTCTTTAATAAATGGTTCTGGGAAAACTGGCTTTTCACTACTAAAGACTAAAACTAGACACATGTCTATTATCATGCACTAAACTAAAATCAAGATGAATTAAAGCTCTAATTATTACAACAAACATTAAATATGCTGGAAGAAAGAATAGGCAGAACTCTCAAAGACATAAGGGTAGGCAAAAATTTCTTGTATAAAACCCCAATCACATCAGAAATAACATAAAGAATTAACAACTTGAATCTCATCCTATTAAAAGGCTTTTGCATAGCAAAAGAAAATAACAGAGTTCAAAGATAACCCACAGAGAGGAAAAAACTCTTAGCTAGTTTTCTCTCAAACAAATGATTTATATCTAGAAGTATGAAGAATTGAAAAAAATCAGACTCCCCCCAATTTCAAGACTCAATCCAAACATGGGCATCTGACATGAATAGACACTTCTCAAAGAAAGAAGTACAAATGGCAAATAAATACATGAAACATGTACAGTATCACTGGACATTTGAGAGATGCTAATTAAAACGACACTGAGATTCCATCTCCAGAAAGAATGTCTATTATCAAGAATAACAATCAGTAACAAATGCTGGAGTAGCTTGAGGGAAAAAGGAATCATTCTCCACTGTTGGTGGGAGTGTGGACTGGTGCATCTACTATAGAAATCATGTGAATATTTCTTTAAAAACTAGGGCTCTTGGGCCAGGGGTTTAGCTCAGTGGCATAAGTGCCTGCTTGGCAAATGCGAAGTCGTGAGTTCAGTCCCCAGTACCAAAAAACAACAACAAAAAAACCCCCAGGGCTTTCCAGCTATTCTCCTACTGGGTATCTTCCCAGAAGAATTAAAAATATACTAATGCTATAAATGCACCCATGTTTTAGCATCACAGTCTGTAATATTGGAAACAACCCAAATGCTCTATCAATAAGGAATAGATAAAAAATATTTTATGCAATGGAGTACTATTCAGCCACAAAGAAGGATAAACTTGAAACATTTCTAGGTAAATGGATGCACCTTGAGACCATACTCATAAGTGAAGTAAATTAGACACGTGTAAATAATGCATTGTATCCCTAGTGTGAGAAACTGAAAGACCAAATAAGGACCAAAATGTATAATAGATATATTTAAATAGGAAGAACTTATTCAAAAGGAAAGAGAAACTTCAGGGAGAGGTGGAAAAGAAAAAAATAAATACACAAAAAAGAATAAAATGACAACAAAGCTCTGTAAATAGGGAGGGAAGAGGCACACAGGAGAAGGGCGGGAGGTGGTTAAAAAAAAGGAAATCAAAGTATGTGTAGGTACAAATTCCCTGTGATGAATATTATCTTTATGTATATATAAATTTTACTAATAAATTCAATTTAAAAAATTCAAAAAGCAAAATTAAAAACCCCCCAAAAAGAAAAGCAAAATTGAGACTTACAGGATAGGTAAAGTACAGAGAAGAGGCTAGAGAATCAATCAGATCAATCAATCAGAGAAGAGGCTAGAGAATAGCATCAGTTCCAAGTGGTTTAGTTTGCTGAGGTTAGAGTACAGGGCTAAGGCAGGTGATTCAATGATCAGAAAAGATTTGTAACAGCCTTTTTCATGATCTGGCAAGGAACAAAGAAAAGTGAAAGGATGATCACACTAAGGTTAGTTAGCATGAATACACAATAGTGCCATTAAATGACTTTCTCAAGCAATAAACAGCAATTTACAAATGGAACAGTGGGTTTATGTAGGTGTTTGAAGGTGAACATGTGAGTGTCATGCTGACCACATTTTGGTTTTTTACAATTACTTTAAGGTTAAGAATCAAGTGAAACCAACATAGAGAATTATTCAGTCAAAGCAACAAGATGCAATAAAGTGAGCACCAGACTAAGCCAGGAGATTTAGCTTCCATTCC